TGTATTGTCATTTTTATAGTCATCTTCCCCATTGCTAGATGTATTTTCATTTTCATAGGAATCTTCCCCATTGCTAGATGTATTTTTATTTTCATAGGAATCTTCCCCATTGCTAGATGTACTTTCATTTTCATAGTCATCTTCCCTATTGCTAGATGTATTGTCATTTTTATAGTCATCTTCCCCATTGCTAGATGTATTTTCATTTTCATAGGAATCTTCCCCATTGCTAGATGTATTTTTATTTTCATAGGAATCTTCCCCATTGCTAGATGTACTTTCATTTTCATAGTCATCTTCCCTATTGCTAGATGTATTGTCATTTTTATAGTCATCTTCCCCATTGCTAGATGTATTTTCATTTTCATAGGAATCTTCCCCATTGCTAGATGTATTTTTATTTTCATAGGAATCTTCCCCATTGCTAGATGTACTTTCATTTTCATAGTCATCTTCCCTATTGCTAGATGTATTGTCATTTTTATAGTCATCTTCCCCATTGCTAGATGTATTTTCATTTTCATAGGAATCTTCCCCATTGCTAGATGTATTTTTATTTTCATAGGAATCTTCCCCATTGCTAGATGTACTTTCATTTTCATAGTCATCTTCCCTATTGCTAGATGTATTGTCATTTTTATAGTCATCTTCCCCATTGCTAGATGTATTTTCATTTTCATAGGAATCTTCCCCATTGCTAGATGTATTTTTATTTTCATAGGAATCTTCCCCATTGCTAGATGTACTTTCATTTTCATAGTCATCTTCCCTATTGCTAGATGTATTGTCATTTTTATAGTCATCTTCCCCATTGCTAGATGTATTTTCATTTTCATAGGAATCTTCCCCATTGCTAGATGTATTTTTATTTTCATAGGAATCTTCCCCATTGCTAGATGTACTTTCATTTTCATAGTCATCTTCCCTATTGCTAGATGTATTGTCATTTTTATAGTCATCTTCCCCATTGCTAGATGTATTTTCATTTTCATAGGAATCTTCCCCATTGCTAGATGTATTTTTATTTTCATAGGAATCTTCCCCATTGCTAGATGTACTTTCATTTTCATAGTCATCTTCCCTATTGCTAGATGTATTGTCATTTTTATAGTCATCTTCCCCATTGCTAGATGTATTTTCATTTTCATAGGAATCTTCCCCATTGCTAGATGTATTTTTATTTTCATAGGAATCTTCCCCATTGCTAGATGTACTTTCATTTTCATAGTCATCTTCCCTATTGCTAGATGTATTGTCATTTTTATAGTCATCTTCCCCATTGCTAGATGTATTTTCATTTTCATAGGAATCTTCCCCATTGCTAGATGTATTTTTATTTTCATAGGAATCTTCCCCATTGCTAGATGTACTTTCATTTTCATAGTCATCTTCCCTATTGCTAGATGTATTGTCATTTTTATAGTCATCTTCCCCATTGCTAGATGTATTTTCATTTTCATAGGAATCTTCCCCATTGCTAGATGTATTTTTATTTTCATAGGAATCTTCCCCATTGCTAGATGTACTTTCATTTTCATAGTCATCTTCCCTATTGCTAGATGTATTGTCATTTTTATAGTCATCTTCCCCATTGCTAGATGTATTTTCATTTTCATAGGAATCTTCCCCATTGCTAGATGTATTTTTATTTTCATAGGAATCTTCCCCATTGCTAGATGTACTTTCATTTTCATAGTCATCTTCCCTATTGCTAGATGTATTGTCATTTTTATAGTCATCTTCCCCATTGCTAGATGTATTTTCATTTTCATAGGAATCTTCCCCATTGCTAGATGTATTTTTATTTTCATAGGAATCTTCCCCATTGCTAGATGTACTTTCATTTTCATAGTCATCTTCCCTATTGCTAGATGTATTGTCATTTTTATAGTCATCTTCCCCATTGCTAGATGTATTTTCATTTTCATAGGAATCTTCCCCATTGCTAGATGTATTTTTATTTTCATAGGAATCTTCCCCATTGCTAGATGTACTTTCATTTTCATAGTCATCTTCCCTATTGCTAGATGTATTGTCATTTTTATAGTCATCTTCCCCATTGCTAGATGTATTTTCATTTTCATAGGAATCTTCCCCATTGCTAGATGTATTTTTATTTTCATAGGAATCTTCCCCATTGCTAGATGTACTTTCATTTTCATAGTCATCTTCCCTATTGCTAGATGTATTGTCATTTTTATAGTCATCTTCCCCATTGCTAGATGTATTTTCATTTTCATAGGAATCTTCCCCATTGCTAGATGTATTTTTATTTTCATAGGAATCTTCCCCATTGCTAGATGTACTTTCATTTTCATAGTCATCTTCCCTATTGCTAGATGTATTGTCATTTTTATAGTCATCTTCCCCATTGCTAGATGTATTTTCATTTTCATAGGAATCTTCCCCATTGCTAGATGTATTTTTATTTTCATAGGAATCTTCCCCATTGCTAGATGTACTTTCATTTTCATAGTCATCTTCCCTATTGCTAGATGTATTGTCATTTTTATAGTCATCTTCCCCATTGCTAGATGTATTTTCATTTTCATAGGAATCTTCCCCATTGCTAGATGTATTTTTATTTTCATAGGAATCTTCCCCATTGCTAGATGTACTTTCATTTTCATAGTCATCTTCCCTATTGCTAGATGTATTGTCATTTTTATAGTCATCTTCCCCATTGCTAGATGTATTTTCATTTTCATAGGAATCTTCCCCATTGCTAGATGTATTTTTATTTTCATAGGAATCTTCCCCATTGCTAGATGTACTTTCATTTTCATAGTCATCTTCCCTATTGCTAGATGTATTGTCATTTTTATAGTCATCTTCCCCATTGCTAGATGTATTTTCATTTTCATAGGAATCTTCCCCATTGCTAGATGTATTTTTATTTTCATAGGAATCTTCCCCATTGCTAGATGTACTTTCATTTTCATAGTCATCTTCCCTATTGCTAGATGTATTGTCATTTTTATAGTCATCTTCCCCATTGCTAGATGTATTTTCATTTTCATAGGAATCTTCCCCATTGCTAGATGTATTTTTATTTTCATAGGAATCTTCCCCATTGCTAGATGTACTTTCATTTTCATAGTCATCTTCCCTATTGCTAGATGTATTGTCATTTTTATAGTCATCTTCCCCATTGCTAGATGTATTTTCATTTTCATAGGAATCTTCCCCATTGCTAGATGTATTTTTATTTTCATAGGAATCTTCCCCATTGCTAGATGTACTTTCATTTTCATAGTCATCTTCCCTATTGCTAGATGTATTGTCATTTTTATAGTCATCTTCCCCATTGCTAGATGTATTTTCATTTTCATAGGAATCTTCCCCATTGCTAGATGTATTTTTATTTTCATAGGAATCTTCCCCATTGCTAGATGTACTTTCATTTTCATAGTCATCTTCCCTATTGCTAGATGTATTGTCATTTTTATAGTCATCTTCCCCATTGCTAGATGTATTTTCATTTTCATAGGAATCTTCCCCATTGCTAGATGTATTTTTATTTTCATAGGAATCTTCCCCATTGCTAGATGTACTTTCATTTTCATAGTCATCTTCCCTATTGCTAGATGTATTGTCATTTTTATAGTCATCTTCCCCATTGCTAGATGTATTTTCATTTTCATAGGAATCTTCCCCATTGCTAGATGTATTTTTATTTTCATAGGAATCTTCCCCATTGCTAGATGTACTTTCATTTTCATAGTCATCTTCCCTATTGCTAGATGTATTGTCATTTTTATAGTCATCTTCCCCATTGCTAGATGTATTTTCATTTTCATAGGAATCTTCCCCATTGCTAGATGTATTTTTATTTTCATAGGAATCTTCCCCATTGCTAGATGTACTTTCATTTTCATAGTCATCTTCCCTATTGCTAGATGTATTGTCATTTTTATAGTCATCTTCCCCATTGCTAGATGTATTTTCATTTTCATAGGAATCTTCCCCATTGCTAGATGTATTTTTATTTTCATAGGAATCTTCCCCATTGCTAGATGTACTTTCATTTTCATAGTCATCTTCCCTATTGCTAGATGTATTGTCATTTTTATAGTCATCTTCCCCATTGCTAGATGTATTTTCATTTTCATAGGAATCTTCCCCATTGCTAGATGTATTTTTATTTTCATAGGAATCTTCCCCATTGCTAGATGTACTTTCATTTTCATAGTCATCTTCCCTATTGCTAGATGTATTGTCATTTTTATAGTCATCTTCCCCATTGCTAGATGTATTTTCATTTTCATAGGAATCTTCCCCATTGCTAGATGTATTTTTATTTTCATAGGAATCTTCCCCATTGCTAGATGTACTTTCATTTTCATAGTCATCTTCCCTATTGCTAGATGTATTGTCATTTTTATAGTCATCTTCCCCATTGCTAGATGTATTTTCATTTTCATAGGAATCTTCCCCATTGCTAGATGTATTTTTATTTTCATAGGAATCTTCCCCATTGCTAGATGTACTTTCATTTTCATAGTCATCTTCCCTATTGCTAGATGTATTGTCATTTTTATAGTCATCTTCCCCATTGCTAGATGTATTTTCATTTTCATAGGAATCTTCCCCATTGCTAGATGTATTTTTATTTTCATAGGAATCTTCCCCATTGCTAGATGTACTTTCATTTTCATAGTCATCTTCCCTATTGCTAGATGTATTGTCATTTTTATAGTCATCTTCCCCATTGCTAGATGTATTTTCATTTTCATAGGAATCTTCCCCATTGCTAGATGTATTTTTATTTTCATAGGAATCTTCCCCATTGCTAGATGTACTTTCATTTTCATAGTCATCTTCCCTATTGCTAGATGTATTGTCATTTTTATAGTCATCTTCCCCATTGCTAGATGTATTTTCATTTTCATCGTCATCTTCTTCACCGTCAGATTCATTTTCTTTTTCATCGTCATTTTCTTTATTGTTAGATGAATCGTCATTGTCATCGTCAGATTCTTTTTCTACTTTATTATTACCTTTTTCATTGTGGGATGAAATTTTACGTTCATCTTCAGATTCTTTATCTACTTTATTGTCATCTTCCTCGTTATGAGATGAAATTTTATTTTTATTGTCAGATTCGCTCTCCACTTCATTGTTGGATATATTTTCATTTTTGTCATGGAAGTCAGTAGCTCTTCCTCTGCGAAATTGATTTCTACCTTTGCCAGAGGTCTTCAGACCGAAAATGTGATTGATCCACTCCATGAAATTGTTGACGGTTTCATAGTCGATGGGGAAGTAATACACATTTTTCTTACAGTCGTCGTGAGAGATGTTACTTATTTCGGAAATATCAATACCAAAGCTGGAGAATTTTTTATGGACTTTGTTGACGTATTTCTCGCCGAGGGTGGGCTTGCGCGACAGTACAGTCGCCGACCAGCGATGGACGGTGAAGAACATAAATGGTTTGTATTCTCGGCAGGTGAAAATGCCCGCGTAGTTAACGTAATCCGTATCAATGACCTTGTGAGATGCGTGACCGTCTATAACATGAATAATTGTTGTTAGATGCTTTTACATATTTATTTTTCAAAATTTACAATAAGCAAGTAAGAAAGTGCGACTACAACTGCATTATTTATTTTTAGTGGAAAATTAGTTTTTTGATACTTTTGTTTAAAATAAAAGAATTTTTTTTTATTGCTTTGATGCAAAAAGTAATTCAAAGTGTGTAAACATTGTGCACAAAATTAAGATATGGAAATCTATTTGTGTAAATCTATTAAAAATTGTACTGATTACCGTTTTTTTATAATATAATTAAACCTTTTTTTTTGCATACAAGCCGTTCAAAGTCGATGCACCCATGGCAAGATGTGAATTGCGACATTCCACGAGCAGGAAGGAGGGGGGGGAGGAGAACCATGTCGAAAGATTCGCTAAAAAAAAAAAGTAAAAAACCTATTTTTTTTTTTTTTTTTTTTATATTGTAACCAACCATTATCTCTGTCGTGAGTCGTTTTCCCGGCTTGCGGAAAATAATCAGCCGTAAAGCGCTAGCCAAAAATGAATAGCTCGCTCAAAAAATTATTAAATTTGAAGTGAAAAAAAAAAATAAATAAATGAAAGAAATAAAAAATCAAATCTTCACACAAAAACAAAAAAGAGGTAAAAAAAGCCGCTTACCTTCGACACTGCCGCGAACAACCGATGCGGGGAAAAGACTGTTGCCATCCACCCCTGGAGTCCCGCCGCCTCGCTACCTCACCCACTTTTACGCTCTACGCTCGCATAGGTGTACCATACGAGCTAAAAAAATTTTATAGTAATAATGATAATTATTTTTATTTTAATGATAAAAAATAAATAAAATAATAATTCATAAGAGTCACTACCTGTATTGTGAGCCCTTGAGTAAATTTACACGTAATGACACAAAGAGAGCGTGTGCAAAGAGATCTGCGCGGCCGGGGAGCTTTGGCGCGCATATTATGTGTACATATAGTTTTGGAAGAAAGGGCGAGAACTTTGGTTGTGTATATTGTATGGGGCTATACTGTACGTGCACATTGAACACGTATACGGCGAGAAGCTTTTCTTGCACTTAGGATATATATGTATACATACGTATTGGGTGGGAGCTTCCGTTACTGCACTGCGCATTTCGGATACGATCCTCTCGGGAAGGGAGAAACGTGCGGTTGTCTTTAGTTAATTTTTTTTTTTTTTTTTTTTTTTTTTCAAACTAACGAGTTTTCGTTTTGTTGAAACGAAAGAAAAGCGCCACTATTATACGTTGATATTCTTTCCTTTGTTGTGTGTTAATTGCGTAGAAAATCAAATCGGTCAGCGAGAATACGAATTCCGTATAGATAATCCCGATAAGGTAAAGTACATTATAGGGTACGTCAGAGTATTTCATGCGCAATCACCTTACGTCGCGTCTTCATCGTGGCTTCCAACATTGTTTTAAAAATTCGAAAAACGTCTTTCACGTTTCGACAACCACCTTTAGGGGTGAGTGT